ATCAGAAACGCCTGAAAACAGAGGGAGGCTGTGGATTGCTTCAATTTTTTTTGTTAAGCCATTTCAATATTTGAATAAAAAAATTGTAAGCAGTTTTACAGAAAAAAGTTACTCCTGCATCAATTCAATAGGATGAAGCATTTTGACGTACAATTACTTAAAAACTTTGTAACTATATAACTACCAATATTTCGATAGTCGAGGTCGATACTTCTGGTTTTTATTATGACCAACCATTAAGAAATAGAAACATTTTATATCGAATTTCTCCAAAGAAATCGATCCTATTGTATAGTCTCCATGTTCTCTGGCTCTAACATTTAAACTATTTTAAAAAGTTTAAAAATACGGTCACAGTTTCCGAAAATCCCTCAAGTGAATCCCAGAAAAATTGTACGAACCCGCACTCGCTGTACATAATATTTTTTAATGATTCCGTCGACTTTTCCCACACACATCATACGACTGCGTCCCGCCACATCAGGCAGAGGCCCTACCCGGACCAAGTTGACATAACAATGCCCCAGGAGAGTGCCATACCACCGACAAAGTTCCGGGGCTCCAGGCCTCCGAGACGGCGGCCCCCGCGTTAGTAAAACAAAAGGGGAACGCTCTTGTAGATCTCGGCGCGTTCGTTCGGTGTTTGCCCAAGTTAACAACGGCCGGAACGATACAAGTCTGGCGGGTTTAATGGCTCCAAATAAATGCAGTTCTTCCATCTCGATTTCCCGAACAATGCCCCAACTAACTTGGTTAACTCGTGTTCGGATCTCGTTGTTAATTGTAACTGACGTGGTCTGAAACTTAGTTGTATTGTAAATCCTCAGCTGTTTTAATTATTGATACTGACGCCCTTGGCGTTAAGAGCAAGACCTAGCTGTAAATACATCAATGATGGCGTTGTCGAACGTAGCTCCTAGAGAAGCAGTTTTCCAAAGTTGAAAATTACATTGTTGAAAATAGCTATGGAGTAAGATGTTTTCCACATGTTTTACTCTATTATAGAAGCACTAAGTTAATTTAAATTCAAAAAATTTAGGGGGGANTAAGTTAAATTTTAATTTACCGTTATGTTTACAGATGACGAAATGCCAGTCCAATCTAATATTTTCACATGATGACCCTGTACAGTATCGTTTAAATTAAATGACAGCCACAAGCGAAGCGCTGGTGTATTACTGGTTGCGGAAACCGTCTCAAGTTCATAGTATCAATTCAATATATCGAATATAATTCGCAATAATTTACCTTTGCATTATGTCAATAAAGATATATGTCCCATATCTCCAAAACCGTTCGAGATAAATCAATGAAATTTGAAATTGTGAATCTAATGGTTTAAAATTAATTTCTAAATTTTAATCAGAAACGCCTGAAAACAGAGGGAGGCTGTGGATTGCTTCAATTTTTTTTGTTAAGCCATTTCAATATTTGAATAAAAAAATTGTAAGCAGTTTTACAGAAAAAAGTTACTCCTGCATCAATTCAATAGGATGAAGCATTTTGACGTACAATTACTTAAAAACTTTGTAACTATATAACTACCAATATTTCGATAGTCGAGGTCGATACTTCTGGTTTTTATTATGACCAACCATTAAGAAATAGAAACATTTTATATCGAATTTCTCCAAAGAAATCGATCCTATTGTATAGACTCCATGTTCTCTGGCTCTACGATTTAAAACGTTTATAAAATTTTTAAAATACGACCACAGTTTTCGAAAGTTTCTCAAGTGAATCCTACAAAAATTATACGAATCTCGCACTCGCTGTACATAATATTTTTTAATGATTCCGTCGACTTTTCCCACCCACATCATACGACTGCGTCCCGCCACATCAGGCAGAGGCCCTACCCGGACCAAGTTGACATAACAATGCCCCAGGAGAGTGCCATACCACCGACAAAGTTCCGGGGCTCCAGGCCTCCGAGACGGCGGCCCCCGCGTTAGTAAAACAAAAGGGGAACGCTCTTGTAGATCTCGGCGCGTTCGTTCGGTGTTTGCCCAAGTTAACAACGGCCGGAACGATACAAGTCTGGCGGGTTTAATGGCTCCAAATAAATGCAGTTCTTCCATCTCGATTTCCCGAACAATGCCCCAACTAACTTGGTTAACTCGTGTTCGGATCTCGTTGTTAATTGTAACTGACGTGGTCTGAAACTTAGTTGTATTGTAAATCCTCAGCTGTTTTAATTATTGATACTGACGCCCTTGGCGTTAAGAGCAAGACCTAGCTGTAAATACATCAATGATGGCGTTGTCGAACGTAGCTCCTAGAGAAGCAGTTTTCCAAAGTTGAAAATTACATTGTTGAAAATAGCTATGGAGTAAGATGTTTTCCACATGTTTTACTCTATTATAGAAGCACTAAGTTAATTTAAATTCAAAAAATTTAGGGGGGATACTTCCAATACATTTTTTTCGATTTACGGCACCCTTAAAAAATATTAAAATCTCAAAATGGCCGAAAAAATTAGCTTTTATTTTTTTTATTAAATTTTTAGTTCATATTTGCTTAGCTTTTCATATTGATAAAAAAGAATTTTTGCAAAAAGCATGTCAAAAATGACAAGCGTTTTTAGTTAACTGTTATACCAATTATGTGTACCTAATCGGCAAGGAAAAATAATGTATTTTTTTTTTCTCGTAAACCATAAGCGTACGTATATGAAAAAATGGGAAGGGTAAAAAAGTTTCTAAGTGAAATGTAGTATTAAAAGATGTTTTTCTTCTTGGAATTGGCTAACTTAGAAAAAAGTTGTGAGAGAAATAAAACCAAGGGGTGCTAACATCTTTCATTCAGACATAAACCGGAAAAAAAAAGACTACCAAAAAATACCATTCAACTAGTTGTTAACGTGTAGCAAAATTCAAATTTCTAAGTTTAATCGTTTTCGTGAAAAAAAAAATAAAAGCTAGGTAATTTTTTCGACCATTTTGTGATTTTAATATTTTCTCAGGGGAGGGGCTCATATAAAAAAAAATGTATTGAAAGTACTCCCCCTGAAATTACTTTCTAAACACCTCCTTAAAATATTTGCGCATCTTTATGTAACACCCTGTATATTTGTTGTCACAAGAAAATTTTTTAACTATGATGTGAAACGAATTGACGAAAAAAAATGTAAGCGGTACAGTAAGTATATTCGAATTTTTTAATATTTTTTTTTCTTACACAATTTAATTTAGACCTTGGTTTACGAGATATTGCAACTTTTTTAATATATGAAGTGATATGACTAGTCGTTGCCGAATATTAAAAAACAACGGAGTTATTAATAAATATATTTTTTTTATTTTGACACCCTGTATCTTGTAAAAGAAAAAACCTATTTGAAAAATGTCATAAGGAACTTTCTATTCGTCCAAAGAATATGCGGTTAACCGCTTGACCTACTTTTTTATAACCCTCTGTATATTATTCATAACACGGTTCATTGAAAAGTCGTAAAGATTCCAGAAATCGATTTATGTATATTTAAACGTCCCTTTAATTCAAGTTTAGGTTTACGCTAACTAGAAGTTAGAGTCAATAGGGCAAACATCCTAGAGCTTCGCGCAAGCTGGCACCAAACAACGTAAATATTAGGGTAAACTTGAATGAAGGGGTTTACGAGATACGTTTTTACATACATTTCCAACAACACGCACGAAGCAGTGCTACTATTACTACTACAACTACTACTACTACCACAATTTTAGAAATCGACAATGCATTGAATTAATGATTTCGAGGCTGAACTTATGAAAATATTTATGGATATGGAACGGTTAGTTTTACAAAATTTTTGATAATTCTTTGAAATAAAATACCTTAGTAACAATCTAACAAATAATAGGGATAAAGAATAAATAAAAGGATAAATGGTTACTTGTTTCGAGGCCAATCAGTATAAATGCAAAATATGCTATAACTACAACATTACTAGATAGTAGTAGGTAATAATTATAACTATAGTAGAATCACATTCGATGCAAAGTAATAAATCATTGCCTGTCAAGGGATCCAATGCAGTCCGCTTTTAAGGGTTTTAGAAATTGAATAATTTCTTTATACATTATGAAGGGACGAGGAGATCAGTTCACGTCTGGCACCCTTGTTCCTACAAAAATTCCTTTATTCTCATAAACTATTTATTTTAAATGTAATTTATTATAAATCCAATTTGTTTTTTAATTTCCACATATGTACTACATTTTACCTCTGTACGCGCCACTGTTGTTTACTTGTTTTTTGGAGGCGCTCTCTGTTTTACGATCAAGCTCGCCAGGTTAGTATTTGACGTATAACCGACCACTTCGTACACTCGATGCACCTGGGCGACTACAGCTACTACCAGAACATGCGTATGCAGCGGTATTTCAGATTTAACATTGAATTTCATTTTAAATTTGAAATGGTTCATCTTACGCCTCCTAAAAATGATGACACGATTTTCCTTTGATAAAAGACCGACAACTTTTTGCTCTACTTTGCATCGAATACGATCCTACTATAGGTAAAAATATTACAGGTGTAACTCTAGCCAACAAATCTTATTTTCATTTGAAATTTGTCAATGACCTCCTTGTTACACACGTGATATAAAATTTTATATATTTAATCGTATTTAAAGATAATTGCAATTGAATTTGTTTCGGTAAAAATAACAAACCTGCACAGAATAACTAACGATCAGGATTCCAACTCTAAGTTGACGGGAAAATGATTACATAACCTCAATTACCTCGATCTTGGAATAGAATTCGGTAAGAGCAAGAATATCTCAATTAAATATAATATAGCAAATTAATTTAAAAAATTGTAGAGGTACCTATATCTTAAGCCAGTACTATTATAGCAGTTGAAGAAGTGAAGAGGAAATATTTTATTTGTGGGTTTATATTATAATTGTAATAACAATGATAACGTGGAACGTACTCTAAGCTGTAATGTTCCATATGAATTCGGAACGAACCTCTGTTTTCTTCCCTTGCCGGCCGGTAAACTCGCTGATTCGCTACAATCGGCCCAACTCGCTATGCGCCACGCCACAGCCTCACGTCCGACGTTAATTTAAAATGGAAAGTTTACCGGTTTAAGAGTGTGAGGACGCAGACGGTTGTCGAAAACGTGTTTTCATCGACCAGCCGCACGGTCCTTTGTTATCTCCGCAAAAGCTGGCTTAGAAAAACGGTTCTGTGATCCCCTGTTTTTTTGTTGTAAACATTTGTTTAACGTGTAAATGTGTGCCATAAAATCTGTGCTGTGACTACTTAGACTGTGAATTTACTATTGTTTGTTATTCGTTGTTGTTGAGGAAGAAGACTAGTTGTTTAAGGTAATCTAACCTCATTTTTTAATTGTTTAATTAAAAAAAATACACTATATTACACGGGGAAGCATTAAAATGTGTTGCTACATAGTCGAGCTTCACCTTTTTAAGGGAAAATAAGGGCTATAATGCCTGGTTAATTTCTTAAGATGCATCGTAATATTCCGCCCTTGGGCATAATGTCTGCACATAAGGATCATTTAGACTTGTCTGAAGTGTAATCACTTATTTTTATGTATGCATTATGGTATACACCTATCGCTTTTCAGAAGTAGTTACTTATATACATATTTTCCTTTCCCACAGCCAGATGGGCTTTAAAATTTGCACAGGGGATGGTATAAGGTTCAGAATTTTTATTTAGGTCAGATACAGTTCTGACAGAAGGAACCTAAATCCAAACTGTGTATTTGTTGTTAAGTACTGTAACTGTTCGTATCGAGGTATAAATAAATAACATTATGATTATACGAGTGCCCTCGGATATATTCACTCAGTGGAAAATAGTAGGACTTTCCTTTACCATTTTCAGTAGTTTTTTTTTTGACGATATAGTGCGTTAAAATTAAAAAAACAATATATAAATATGTTTTTTTTTAAAATTATATTAAGTAAGTTGTAATTTAGGTTTGTTTAATATTAGAAATTTATAAACTTTCTAAGTGTAACAAATGTTCGGTCGCGACCGCTGGGCGCAGGGGTGGTCCGATCGGATTGATTTTGGTGGTGTTGTATAGGTTGCACCTTTCTGCGTCGAATGGAAATGATTCAGGCATTTCACGATTATGGGGGTGGCTATGGGGAGGAAATTAGTGAATCTACATTTTGACAGTTTTTATAACACTTTGTCTATATGAGTAAACTTAGCTTGAAAATCAAGTTTTCCAAGGCACATAGAGCAGGGGTGAATTTGTGTGTAGGGGCAGCAAATCAATATTATGGTTTTCAAGGGCAAAAAAGGGAACATTTGTAGTTATGACTGTTGATATGTTAATAAAGGTGTACTGCAGTTGGGGGGGGGACTGTAATGTTTTCAAAGTTTTTATGTTTTTGTAGTTCTGGAGGTAGGTGGTGGAAATATACAGGGTGTTTTTTTTATCGTTTTCGAGCTACAAGACGATTTTTAATTTTCAACAAAATTTATATGCTTAACTATATTCTCTTGTCACTAGATCCCGTAAATTGGTTTAATCATATGCTATAAACAATTTTTGAAATATTTGAAATATATGCCTCCACAGCAGTGTCTGTATAAATGCTTAGGGTGTGCGCAAGAAAAAATAGGGAAGGGGGGATGTACTACCACTCCCTTTTCAAAAGTTGTACAAAAATGTGTTCATAAGGTAAAAATATGTGTAAAATTTCTTCCTACTGTCCTAAAAACAACAAGCTGTAAAATTTCTTTTATTTCTAATTTTGATATTCTGGGCTTAAACGAAAAATGGAAAGTCCTTTATTTTCACTCAAAGAATCTGAGGCTCCTACTTTTTTGTAACACCCTGCCCAGCCAAAATGTAATAAGGTAGTAAAAGAAATCTAAATCGAATATTTTGTTTGCGTTTTGAGTGATAAGAAAAAACCTATGACAAACTTGTTTTATAAGCTGTGTAACAACAGCAGTACCTACGATGATTTAAAAAGTAGTTGAATCACATCGTGAATAATTATTTTCCTAAAATAACGTGTTGCAAGCGAAAACAAACAAAGAAACTAAAAATAAGTAAAAATGTCGGCTGTATCAAAATTAGAAAGTAGTGAATTCGAACAGTGGATCAACGAACCGGGAAAAAGCAAAAATAACATTTATAAACAAAAAAACTGCGTATTAATATAACCATAATAAAGGCGATCTCCTCTTTTTTTTTTGTATAAATTTAGACTTGGCAAAAACACAAACCCCTAGGTACATTTTTAATACCGGCAGTGTCCAATGTTTTTCTGTTTGTTTCAGATGGCTATGGCTGTCAAATGGGAACAGTGAAGATGAAGTGTCAGTTAGACTAAAGAAAAGTCATCTCTAATCCTACTTTTGTAAAACCCCAAGTAGAATCTCTGAAAAAAAAATAGCCAAAGAACAATATTTTGTATATCTTATTTACATTTAGATAAGTCCGCGAAAACGGAAATCGTTGTGTAAAATCTACGGTAGTTTGTCAAACGTGCGAAAATGAATATAGGAGTTTTGGAAGAAAACCGCGTGATATGCAGATACAATCTTCGGGGCATGTGCCGGTTTGGTGGCAGGTGCAGGAACATACACATCGCCCCTGAAAAGCTCACAGAGAAATTAGAAGCAGAAAACAAGGTAAGTTTACTTTTTAAAATTCGTGTTAACTTTACTACTCAAACTATTTCAATTAGACAGATTCATCAATTGTGTTTAATGATTTAATTCTATAAATTGACTCACTTGTTTTGTTTGACTATCCTAAATTCAGAAAATTAGGGTCACTGTTTGCTTTTAACCACTTAACTTTAACAGAAAATATGTGTTTGACCCTTAAAACTTATTGTCCTCTTATATTACCCTTGAATTTATTTGGGACCTGACCCTTTTATAATTATATTTGCTGAACCCTGTTCCTAATAAATATGAGAGAGTAATTTTCATTTCCCAGAAGTAAATTGCTTTTTCAGTACATTCACCTGGAAGTCAGATATAGATTGTTTGAAATTGTGCTCTCTGAGGCATTTACATATTGCCTGTTTTAATTATGCATAAAAATTATTCAAGTACCGCACTCTCTTGAATATTTATATTTTCATTTCGTAGTTTAATTTAAATTATTAAATAAAAATATGTAAAATAGCCCCGGATATTGAAATAATAATGTTACGAATTGGTATTTTATTATGCAGGAGCTACTATACGGGATGATTAGGGATTAATTGGCAAACTTAAAATTTAAATTCTGGTGGTAAAAATGAAAAAAACCCTTGTAGGAACGCCAATAATTTTTTTTCTATAAATAATTTTAATATTTTTAGTAATTAATACTTTATTATTTTTTAGGAATAGAAATCTCATTAAGTACTCGAAATTCGAAAATAATCCGTTTCTCGAATAAAATATATGTGCAATATTTTTTGTTCGGCATTTTAGAAAATCTAAATTGGAAACAATATCTCTTCACTGTATCATTTATATAAGTTTTCTTCGGGGAATAATACAACTGACAATATATTCAAAATAAGGAAAAAATCGTGTTTTTACCTCGTATGTTTATCTTATCTATCTTCTGAATTTTGCATACCTGTTGAACATACAGAAAATAGCGTACGGTACTATAAACATAATCACACCCCGTAAAATGCTTCTAGAAAACTATTAACGCATGCCTTAATTACAATAATTGAGTATATTTACAAATTTGCTAGACAATACAGGAAAGGTACAATTTCTGATGTTTACATGGTCTTCGTGATTTTTCAATGCGAAAAATTAAAGGAAGCTGCCCTAATTTAATGTTACGCTTCGTTATTTCCTGAATGAATCTACTTATTCCGTCATTGTCTTACTAAAAGTGCGATTTCTTATCTATAAAACGCCAACTTAAGAAGTAGTGATCTAAATTGCAAAATATCAAGCAGCGTGGAATTAAGGATTCTTAGCGAGAGTTACTCCCGGTATCTCAGCTGCTGGTGTAAGTATTTATAATCAAATACGTTTAGCGTTTTTAAACTTGTTTCTATATTTTGGCCACCAAAAATCGAATTTTAAGTTTGGACAATTAATCACGAAACACCATGTATACCCTGTGTTTGACTTGTCACTGAATCACCCTTATATCTCTTATTTGAAATTGGAGAAGTTTTTTTACAAGTTGTATACGTAATAATTATCTGCAGAGCTATTATTCTGGTATAACTAAATTTGATATGTCATAGTTGTTTCGTTCTAAAATTAAAAAAGGGTGAATTTTAAAAAAAAATGTTTATTTAAGAACTGTTTAATATATTCTAATTTAGAGGACCCAGACACCCCACACTATCAAATTTCTATGAAATGTATACCCAAACCTTTAGTTTTTTTTTTACTTTTGCGTAGCCGTTAACTTAAAAATTATTAAAAGATAAGCCTTTCACTTTTTGTTTTTTATAAAGCTATTCAATTCTCAAACAATAATTGTATTTTAGCGTAGAATTTTTTCTGCCGATAAGATTTTCTCATTTGTTAAGCATATTCAAAACGATTTTCTATGACTAAAATCAAATTTATTTATATTAGAGCCATCGCTTTGCAGGTAACTATTTCGTTTTGGTATATCAAAAAGGTTTCAATTTAACATAACCTAAATATAAAGGCGGCTCCATGAAATGTGAAACAGTATATACAGGGTGTCCCAATAAAAAATCACGTCGCCATTTGCTTTGGAACGGAAAGAGATATTTCAGTTATACGTATATGGTGGACCTTCCAAGAGCTTCAAATTTGCGCGGTAACAGTTACTATCAACACTAGCACATAGATGGCGTTGTGGTGCCATGTTTGCATTCAGTATTGTTTAGCCAACAAAAAACGTCCTGCAATTAATGTAATTAAATATTTATTGGAAGTAAGAGCCAATTTATTTATGGTATATCAAGATGTGTAAAATAGTCAAGGAAAACATTAAGTTCGTTATAAAGATCTCCCAGTATAATCGTATTTCATTTTTTGAAATAAATAGAAAGACATTTTTACATTACATTTCGCATATATTTATGAAATGATATTTTATTGTTTCATTAACAAAACATGCTTGTCTATTTGAAAACATAAATTGAATTACTATTTATTCAAAAAGACTAGGTAATTGAACTACCTTAATAATAAAATTAGATTAAATATTCGAAATTATTTCCATTATTTTGAATAACATACACATATTAAACCATTTAATACGTTCATTGGTACATGCTTTTTTGGGTATTTTAGATTTCTTTAATTCAATTTATGTTTTGAAATAAGGAAACAAAATGTATCATTTGATGAGTGAATTTTTTTTTCTTTGGGAAAATGGCAAAGGGGGTTGTTATTGGCACACTATATTCCATAAATTCATTCCATTCAAATCTGGTAGCCGTACAGGCCGTCACAGGTTTACCTTCGCTTTCTCTTGGAACAAATCTTGTTCTAGATAACGCCTACAATCGACGCAGACTCTCTAGCGTCCTCTTTGGGCGCTTGCGCGTTGTCCCCCAAAAAGTCGAAGCCCTCGCCCAAGGATAAAGGAGCAGCTTCCACGGTGAGCCCCAAGGAGGACCTTCTGGGCCTTGGCCCAAGCACCTCGTCAGCCGAGGAGGCTGTGGCCCTCGTAAAGAAGGTCGAATCCGCCCACAAGACGTGCGGCATCTGCTTCGACATCATCCTCCAGAAGGCCAACAGGCTGGAACAGACCTTCGGCATCCTGCCCAACTGCAACCACTGCTTCTGCTTCACCTGCCTCCGCAAGTGGCGCCAGAGCAAGGAGTTCGAGTTGGACGTGGCCAAGGCATGTCCAGAATGCAGAACAGCGTCAGGTAAGGGAAAGGGAAGATTTAGATTTGCAGGGTTGAAATTGAAGAAGTAGATTATTTTATGAAACAGTGGTTCCCAAAGTAGCAAATAGTAGCGAAAGTTTCTCGCTTTCGTCTCGATAACAGTCGTAGATGGGAAATTAATTTCACACGTATGATGTGGCAAAGGATATCAAAAATTTAAGAGCTTCTTTTGCTAACTCAGAATAATCTTGCTTCCTTTCGAACCAAAAGTGATCTAAAATGTTAGAACTCTCTAAAAATGGATTAATTACTCATTATGACTATTACTGAAGGACATTTCTTTTCAACTTTCAATAAACGCTGACGACCAAAAATCAGTTTTCTTTAAAAATTCGTTAATTTTATCCAATATTTTATCCAAGTCTGTTCTTATCATCTAATTTAAAAGGTAGAAAATATTCTCAACAAGTTCTGAACGATGAAGCCAAAGAGAATGGGAAAATAGATTTGTATATTCAGATTTTTCATCCTGAAGATACAATAAAAGTTCTGCTCTTAGTTGGAAGATACTTTTAGGCACATTTCCGTTGCCAAATCAATTTTTCCGAAAATACGAGATTGTAATGCTTTGTGAATAAAATATTTTCTCTTTAATATCAACTTCAGTAGCATATCTTAGTTTGCAAACTGAACACGATTGTGTATTATCGATTAATTCATCTGCAAAGTCTTATTAAGGTTTTCAACAAGTTATATTCTGATATCTTTTGTCTTCTTTGAACCGTGTTATTGGAAAGATATATTTGTTTAAGCTTGTTAGATTCTCTACCGCACAACCATTATTTATTATACCATTTTCACAGCTGCTGCTTTCCACAGTATTGTAGTTGAAAATGGATAAGAGCAGTGAAAAATTGACAGAGTTATTTTGAAATATTTATAAATGTGATCATAAAGTGTCAAAAATTTGGGACCTGCTGTTCTAAGAGTTTGTTTTGATTAAGTATTAACTACGTAACCATAAATCTTCAACTTTGAATATGCTTCACAGAACATTTTTGAAAAATCGGACTTGCCCGGTTTTTGCGCCGAAGTTTTCAATACCTTTTTGTATTCAGATTTCGTGTACCCCTCCAAGTACTGGGTGGAAAACAAAGAAGAGAAAACTGAATTCATAGACGCCCAGAAGCAGAGGATGAAGAAACAGAACTGCAGGTACTTCCGGCAGGGTAAGGGCAAGTGCCCCTTCGGCAATACGTGCCTCTACCTGCACGCCCTCCCCAACGGCAAGACGCTCGACGTCGGACCGCCTCGTCCAAGACGACGCAGGCCTTCAGGTATAGGTAGTTTTTTTATTGTACCTCATTTCTATCACCGAACCTTTATGTAAAATATAGTGTTACATTTCACAGTCTAGCATCCGATTTTTAGGTAGGCAGATAGCGGTTTTGTATACAGGGCGTAACTTTGGAGGGTTACATTTATACGAAGGTTATCTTTGATCCTTAGAAATACGTACCATAAGATTGTTTTCTCAAATTCCGTTGTGGAAACTGATTTTTTTAAATCCGTTTAGCGCACCGACCGATTTGCGATTTTATCACACGAGACACACACAAACCGTTTATTCCGTCCGTCGTCATTTATTTTGTTGGTTGCCTTTCTAAAAATCCGATGCTAATCCATCGCTCTGAATAACACTCGAGGTAGTTTATTTATTCACACTTGCGACACTGTAGTCATTTTTTTTTGTGCTGTTGAAATTTTCAATTTCATTTCTTGGATTTAACAGGTATAGATAACGATCTGGTGCACCAAATCCTCTTCTGGCTGAACGACGACGATCTCGACGATGACGACGTCGATGACTTCGAGCTCGATCTGTCCGATCCGTGCATCGCGATGCAATACTACGACCATGGCGATATCCGGCGCTACATCGCCATGGAGCGTCTCATGCGGGGCGACGACGGAGACGACGACGACGACGACAGCGACTACGAGTTCCTCCTTTTCTAAGTAAGAAGCGAGGGTGTAAAGTGTCGTCTGTCGCTTATTTTCGTGCCGCTGAATGTCTGTCTTATAATTTTTTGTATTATGGTTAGTTTTCTTCGATTATTATTGCTTAGTTATTTTTATTATTACTATTAAACATAATGTATTCATTTGTGTATTCTTAAGTAATAAAAACTTCAGTTTATTTAAATGAGTGTTTGCTTTTTATCGGTTTTTTGTAATTCCTTAGCGTGGACGTCGCCGATTGGAGGAAGAGGCGGAAAGGTCAAGAAGGAATAATGAAGGTAATGAAGCAGCCTATGACAGGCATTTAGTTTTATTTATCACACAAAAACTACTTACGGTATAGGTACTCAGCGCAAAAAAAATCGAGATTTGATGCTGCCGGAAAAAAATGAGACGTTCATATAACGTTTTTTTTTCGAAAACTCGATATTAACAGAGATGCATAAGATCAAAGTTCATTTTTTTTCCGTTTATTTATATGCAACATATTCCTTTGCAGTGCAGCTTGAAAATAAAAAAAAAATGAAAAATTGGAAAGCCCTAAAGGACACAAAGGGCAGTTAGCAGTTCTCAAATCACGCACAAGAAAGAATTACTGGTGCATTAAAAAAATTTAAAAACGGATTTTCACGACTTTTGACTTTAAACGAGAGCACTATTTCGTTAAGATTTTTGCAAAATTTTCATGAAATGTCCCAAAAATTTGAAAAGAATTGGAAATAGATTTACTCATCATTTCTCATTTACTGACTGCAAACATTAATTGGCCTGTATTATAGATTACAAAGAAATAAGTAAATAAAAACCAATCCACCAAAAACGCAAACCAGTATTAAAAGCGATTGTTAAGAATGTCAACGAACAGTGATCGTTAGAAACAACGGCAAGCACTGAATTGATTTCCACGCTATAGTACGAATTTATGATTAATATTTACAGACGTTTGTCAACTTCAAATGTAAATGTCTGTAACTAAAAAACTTTTAGAGTGACTTTTTGTGGAGTGTATAATTTCATTCTGCAATAGCGACAGTCTCAAGTATGGCTAAAAAAAAGGTTGTAGGACAAAGTATTAAAATTACAGGGTACAGTAACGGTCAATGCAAGCTTTGCATTTGGATGTGGAGCATCATATTGAGATGATTGAAACCATGAGAAAGACTACACAATTTTTCTAATACTGAGATGTGATATGTGTTTATGCACAAGAAAATTTTTGTGGCAGACGTGCTCGTCAGACATGCGTACGGTTGTATCCTGACAGGATCCAACCAAACCATAAAACTTTTAAAAATATCTGACAGATTAGGACTGGAAAATTTCTTCCCAAGATTCGTATTGCTCAATATCCTTGACTTACACTATGTTTGTCAGCAATTACAGACTAAGAAAATCTTCCATATGCAGAATACTACGAAGCGAAAATTTACGACCTTTTCATTTCACTCCAGTTCAAAATTTCTTACAGACAAAACGATAGTCACAATTCAACTGGAGAAATTCACATTACTGGGATGTTGAAAATCAAAACTTAAGCAGGGAGTCACACTTTCAACACGAATTTAAAATTAATGTGGTGTGGGATCATACAAAATCGCTTACTGGGTCCATATGAATTACCACCAAATCTAAACGGTAATTTTTATTTAAGTAAATTTCCTGCAAACAACTTTTTAATGAAATGGATACCCGGAATTTAGACATCAGACAGAGCGTGTGGTTCATGCAGGACTGGGCGCCAGCTCACTATTCTCGTGAAGTGCATACTTATTTAAATGAGCAATTTCCTCATAGATGGATCGGAAGAGGAAGTGAATTCCGATGGCCACCTCGCAGTCCTGATTTAAATCCTTTGAATTATTACTTGTGGGGCCATTTCAAAACAGTTTATTCTCACCCAATTAGTAATCGACAAGAATTATAGAACCAGATATTGAAAGCCTCGCAGTTTATTAGAAATCAGCCCAACATATTTTAAAGTCCGTAAATTTTTAACAAAGAGTATTAGAAAATGTATGGAAGTAGCCATTTTGAAAATTTAATAAAATAATTTACGGTTATATGTTTATAATTTTGTTTTTTTAAGAAAATTGAAACTAAAATTTTGATTTTGACACCCTATAACTACGTTATTATCAACTTTTGGACTTGCCCTAAGTTTGGCCAGATCACATTATTATGACGTCACAAATCACCTGTTACTCTGTGTACAATTCATTGCGGGACACACTGTATAATAATATATGCCACATACGTCATCTTAAATGATAGAAAAATAAAGAAGAATAGAAAAAGAAAGATAAAGATGTAAAAATGTTCACTGTAATTTATAACGTGTTTAAAATTTAGCTTTGAAATTACATTGATTTTCCTGCATTTTGCTCGAACATAAAGTAAAAAATCAAGTCGGTTAACTCCCAAAAATATTTGCATTAATTAAGGCGGCGGTTACTCCACTAGATTGCTTTCTGGATTAGCAGTTAAACGCACTTTCAAGAGGGAATTTACGCCGTCATCTTGTCACGTCGGAGGGCAGGAGACCCATTGCCCTAAGCCCCACGCGTTTAATCCCTGCAAGGGAAAGGTCTTGCTGGAATCTGCCAAAACGTCCGCAACTCTCAGAGACGCTAAGAATGTCGATAAACTCCCAGATATGTCGGTGGGTGTAAGTCGACATACGCGCCTCTTCTCAGATTCTAGAGTCGGCAGAGGCTTTTGCGCGAATGATACGAAAAAGTGTAATTTCCGCTTTTTGTACTGGGAGAAAAAATACTCCTAAATATATAGATTTTGGAGCAAACAGATTTGAAATCGAAAATGAAATTTTCAGTAAAATCAACAGCTAATGTTGCTTTAACAAACGATTGGGACAACCGTTCATATGCTTTACTTTAATATCCCTTATTTATTTTTGGAATGTTTCTGTACATAATAATATACAGTGTGTTCCTGGATGGGGTACCGCACTCTTGTAATTTTTTTATTGTTGATTTTTCGAGGAAAAGTTATTCTTGATAAAAAGTTTTGCTTATCTTGGGAAGCCATGGGCAGTAATCAGATATGTAATAAAACATACAAAGCGTCCAAAAATTTACAAATTGTGAAATTTTCCCTAAGCAAAGTGCTTTTAATTGTTGTTTTCGTTAAAAACTATTTAATAAAGTTTTTCGAGAACTCATGAAAGCTTAAATACGGGGTTTAGTCAAAAAAGAAGAATAATTACATTTTGCAAATAAAAAGACGCCGCAATTTTTAACTATCTTACATACCATATAATTACTATGAATATTTCTTTATCAATGTCAAGTCAATATATTTATTAACTCTCCACCAAATAATTTTTATTAATAATGCTGGAGCAGCGAATTTATCTTGTGAAATGTTATGGAACTCGTAAAGCAGTTCGCAAGCTAATTATAAAATTCGATACCACTGGTGAGGTAAAGAATATAAAAAGATAAAAAGAGAATACAATAATAATGATGCTGCTACTAGGGTTTCTGATTTCTCTGCCTATTTTTTTTTCTCGGGTCTCGAGAATTCTCGACTAGGAATTCCCGGGAATTCTTGAATTCTCGAGCAATTTCTAAAACTTAGTCATAATTTTGGTATTGCAATGCGAAATATAAACATGCTATTATATTTAACAATAATCATTAATATTTATTATTTATTCAGTATTTTTATTAATTACTTATGTTCTAACAAAACTAAATTAAACTTTGAGTTTCTTCTTAAAAACCTTTAACTTGTTTTTTTAATAAACACTTTCAATATCCTTATGTTTATTTCAATGTTTTTGAATCGTAGTTTTCTTCCAATAATAATTATTAATAATCATTAATCATGCAGTCTTTTAATTAAATAAATAGTAAATAAGGAATTTAACCGAAGAAATCTTAAAAAAACAAGCTTTAATTTAAAGATACAGAAGCGTTCTTCCTATTAATTTATCACTTCAACATTAGGTATCTGCTTATAATAAAATTTCTACACAGACTTATAACTAGGTACAGGGTGATTCACTATATTTTGACCCCCCTTTAACTTTTTTGTTTTAAGAGTTATAAAAAAATGTGAAATACAAAAGTTGCACGATTTTTTATGAAATTTTCGAATATGATAGTAGAAAAACAAATGAAGTTCAAACAAAATGGCCGCGGATGTTAACTTTGTTAATTTAAATGGAACACCCTGTATATTTTTACACATTTGGATAGAACGTTCCCTGTCGAGCACAGTCATATATGGTTTGTTGGGTCCATCTCTAACAATAAGCGAGATAATATTAAAAAACGAAAAGAACGTTTTTTATTAAGAAAATAAAATATTTTGTAATTGTTGGACGTTTTTCGGGCATTTCTGCCTTTTTTCCAATTACGTAAGGATTTAGATTTATTTGCAATATATTTTGACATATCGAACATTGATATAGTCCAAAATAGGTATAAGTATTTTAACTAAATCGCACTAATTAGTCCGTGACAGTGACAGGTAATATTATGACAACATTGTTATGGTTTGACAGTTTGTATTATTATTTATTTAAAATGGTTTACACAGAAGTAGAAAATTTAAATATTATAGGAATTAAGATAGTAGAAGTAGTTAAGATATTCTCCATAGTTTATTTTAATTCCTAATAATATTTCAAGTTTCTACTTCTGTGTAACCCATTTTAAATAAATAATAATACAAACTGTCAAACAATAACAATGTTATCGTGACATTACTACCTGTCACTGTCACGACCTACCATATATAAGATTGTCCATGAGTAATTGGCCCCACACGGTCTAATTAGTGAGATTTACTTAAAATACCTATACGCATTTTGGACTATATCAATGTCC